AAAATACTCAAGATAATGCAAGGTAATTTGGTCACTAAATGTACAATAGGAAAGTGAAGAGGATAAAGTATTCAATCCTGAGTTTTTCCTGGAAGTACAGCTTCTGTGGGCATGTCATTGAGGACACTGGAAACATTATGTATTGATTGCATATAACAATGAGTATAGCATTACTAATTCAGCTGGCAAGAAATGGTTTATATTAGGTTATAAATTCTCATCTGTTTCCACTGAAAAATGCTACAGATTGGCATTAGATTCCATTAAGCTGGAAAAAGAAATGTAACAAGGAAATCTCAACTGATAGGAGCACTTATTCTGTAGCAGGTGAAAAAAGGAAGGGAAAGGTTCATTTATAGGAGGATGAGAGCTTAACTTTTAGTGTCCAGTGTCTCCTGTCTTGCTGGCAAAGTCCACTCTGTTTAGCCCAAGAGCTGTGACTCCAGGAGAAGCAGCAGCTAATGCACATCTTCAGGGCATATTTTCACGTTGTAGGATCATGCATTTTAAAAATCAAAAAGTACTGAATTAATGAGTTGCTTTTATTGTGAATTTACCTCCTGGCAACTTTTATTTGCAATAAAAAGGAGACTATGACTGAAAAGCATTAAGCTAAGACTACTTCCGCAACTGAAGGTGGAAGGAGGCGGCAGGAGCTGGCTGCGTTGGTTTAGATCTTTGTCCGTCTTCATGAGTCAGTTACTTGACTCCCCAGGCATGCTGCTCATCTGGATTAACTTGGTGAAACCCCATCTAATAAAGTGAGAAGTTTGGTGTTCTCTTGCCATGTGGTGTTGGACAGCAAGTAGACATCTCAACAACAGAATGTACAGTGAATTTTCAGATAGAGACATTGATGTGCACATTGATATTAAACTGTGTAGATAAATTTATAGAAGATGGATGGAATGTGAAAATAAGTGCAATAGAAAACCAAGTTATACACGTTTTTGAAGAAAAACATAGCCTTGTAACTTTTTTTTTTAGCACAGAAAAAAGCAAAATGTGATTATTCCTGCAGGGAGTTTTACTGTTTTCTTACGTGTAAATCATTAAACAGGGACTGCACACTTGCTTGGCTTTGCTGACTCTGGTTTAAGACCGTTATTTGCCAAATAATTCTTACCTGTTTACCTGTAACATTAGTATTTTATTGTATGAAGAATGGTCATAATCCCTTTGCATTGAGGACATTAACCACTTTTGTGTCTTAGTGTGGAAGCAGAGGAAATGGAGCAATGAGGACAGGGGTATTTTTATGTTATAATTGTTTCAGCTTCTCAAGTTGGATTTTTTCATGAACATGGAACATTTACCTGTTGGATGACTGCTTTAAGCCTACTCCAACTAGCAGAGGCTAAGGGATCATGACTGTTGTTTGTCATTTTAACCTTCATAATCCATGCATGTATCTTATCTATGCCATAATATATTCTTCATTTTTTCTTAACTGCTGCTGTTTGTTTGCACCAACTTTTGTCTGGGCTGTAGCTGAATTGTTGGATCATTGAACAGGAACTGTTCCCACTACATGTGTTTAGTTCCTATCACAATGGGTCGCCAAACGTCATGTTGTCTCTCCTGTAATGTAAACATTAAGAAGTTAATCATTGTCACAGACAGATTTTTTTTTTCTCTTTTAGTGACATACGTGAAGTTAGTTTGCTTATTTTGGACATAAGTCCTCAGCATTTAAAGTGATCTTTCTGTGTGGACTGTTAACCAGTCTCCTCAAAAATCTAATACAAGGTATCATCCCTTTTTACTGAGGTAGTTTTGGCCATTTCAGCTTTGTCTGTTCAAGCAGAAGTTTTCTGTAAATAAACATGGGAGATGACAGGGAAGTGCCTTTAATTCAGTTGGGTTTAAATTTTTTAAGTACTTAAATAAGGCAAATAAGATAGGAGAAGCTTTAAATAGATTTTGGGTAAAGATCATTTCTGCTTGAGTCATGTGTTGTCTGTCCAGAGTTCATTGCAAGAAATCACTTAAATCAGTGCAGATCCAACAAAACATTTGATTTGTTGAATTGTTACTGGAGACCAGTAACGAGTGGCATCCCTCAGGGATCGGTGTTGGGACCGGTCTTGTTTAACATCTTCATCGCTGACATGGACAGTGGGATTGAGTGCGCCCTCAGCAAGTTTGCCGATGACACCAAGCTGTGTGGTTCGGTTGATACGCTGGAGGGAAGGAATGCCATCCAGAGGGACCTTGACACGCTTGTGAGGTGGGCTGATGCCAACCTCATGAGGTTTAACCATGCCAAGTGCAAGGTCCTACACCTGGGTCGGAGCAATCCCAGGCACAGCTACAGGTTGGGCAGAGAAGAGATTCAGAGCAGCCCTGTGGAGAAGGACTTGGGGGTGCTGGTTGATGAGAAAATGAACATGAGCTGGCTTCAGTGTGCGCTCGCAGCCCAGAAAGCCAACTGTATCCTGGGCTGCATCAAAAGGAGGGTGACCAGCAGGTCGAAGGAGGTGATCCTGCCCCTCTGCTCTGCTCTTGTAAGACCTCACCTGGAGTACTGTGTGCAGTTCTGGTGTCCTCAACATAAAGAGGACATGAAACTGTTGGAACAAGTCCAGAGGAGGGCCACGAGGATGATCAGGGCACTGGAGCACCTCCCATAAGAAGACAGGCTGAGGAAGTTGGAGCTGTTCAGCCTGGAGAAGAGAAGGCTGCATGGAGACCTCATAGCAGCCTTCCAGTATCTGAAGGGGGCCTATAGGGATGCTGGAGAGGGACTCTTCATTAGAGACTGTAGTAACAGGACAAGGGGTAATGGGTTCAAACTTAAACAGGGGAAGTTTAGGGAAATTCTTTCCTGTTAGGGTGGTGAGGCACTGGAATAGGTTGCCCAGGGAAGTTGTGAATGCTCCATCCCTGGCAGTGTTCAAGGCCAGGTTGGACGAGGCCTTGGGTGATATGATTTAGCATAGGGTGTCCCTGCCCATGGCAGGGGGTTTGGAACTAGATGGTCTTAACGTCCTTTCCAACCCTAACAATTAAAAAAAAGGTTAAAAATTTAAAAATTTGATTGAGTTGGTCTGAACTCTTAGCAAAGCAACTACAAGAAACCTGTGACTGTACCTGCATGTTGAGGATATAGTTCAAACACTCTTGTGTCATGTTGTGAAACAATTACTATATAAAGGAAGTGTGTAAAGAAGTTTTGTGAGTGTTCTTGAACCTATTACAGTAATATGTTTTCAGTTTACTCTTCAGAATAAAATTTGTGATTAAACTTAAGAACTATAAGCCTTTGATTGCACGTGTTTAGAACATACATGTATACAATTTGCAGGTAGGTGTTGCAGAAGCTATCAGGTATTTGTTTTATACATAAAACAAGCAATGAAAACTTCTCTGTGCAGCTGCTGAACTTTAGCACTGGCTCCTTGAAAGGAAACAAATTCGTGCCCAGATAAGCCTTAGCCTTTCTCCGTCGGAAGCCAGCTGTGACACACTGCTTCCATATGGTGAGAAATAGTGAATAATTATTTCTCATTCACCATCTTCACGTGATTTGTGATTTTAAAGGCTTCTGCTACGTCAGCCCTTAGTGTGGCACTGTACCTAGGTTACCTTTAGCTAAATGGCTTGGCCTGCTGCACCACTATCCCTTTCTCTTCCTTATCTCAAAGCTCAATAGCATTGTAAAATTGAGGTCTTATTTGTAACTGGGGCACAACAGCTCTAGTTCACTTCCGTTATTTATAAACAGCTCCCATTCTTTGGGAGGGTCCTTGGAGATGGCCGTTTTGGAAGGGCCTACAACTGTCTCTGAAATTGTGCTTAAGTACTTCTTCCCTCCATTTAAAAAAACTGCATCTACAGAGAAATTGAGAGTCCCAGCAGGGCTGTACACTACAGTCAAACTGAGACGGGATTGGTTTGTTTAAGTTGGGTTTTTTTGAAGGCCTAGGATAGAATCTGTGTAACACTGAGCTGAGTGTTACTACATGTTAACACACACATTTACCTGATGTATGATCTGGCTCAAGAGCTTCTCTGCTGGCAGACTGTTTACGGGTGCTGTCCCTCAGGGAAAAGAGGAAGGCATTCAAGCCTCCCCAGATGAAGAGTAGAAGGCAACACCCAGGTAACTTGTGTCAGAGTGCTTGCAGGGTCTGTTGCATGTAGAGCACACCCAGTATCACCAGTGCCACTGAATGTTTCTTCTTACATTGTTAGCATAGCATGTCCTTTCTATCATCTTTATTGGCTAGCCTGGGTTAAGTCTTAGCTGAGTTTTTCTTTGTAAGCAAAAGTTATTCTTTGTGTAGGTATCCTGACAGCAATTTGAGCATGTCTTTTCAGATGTTGTATTGTCTAAGGTAGTGAAGGAAAGCAGAGGATAGCAATATATCTGGTGCAGTTATTCTTAAGGCATTTTAGTCAGAGTGTAGGTGGGAAAAAGAATGCTATTTTGATTATAGGCTGCAGGCAAGTCCAACTTATCTGTAACAGACGGTGTGAACAGGCTCCTGCCTGTAATTATGGCAGTGAGCAGGTGCAGGAAGAGTCTTAGGAAAATGATTTCAAAGATGGAAGCAGGACAGATCAAGTATGGGTGGCATCATAAACAGCTCTGCTGGTACGTCACATCTGCTGAGCTTGCATCCACTGTCAACTTCTCCAGCAGAGAGGGAGAGGTTTTTGCAGTGTGTGGCTGTCCTGGAATCGCTTGAACCAAAAGGGATTGAGTTCTCCTTGTGCAGACTGTCAAGCTGATGGCATAATGTTGTGATCCTAAGTTGTCAATGCCATGATCAAGTCATCTTGTAGACAAGATGAGCATACATTGTGACATACCGTTGCACATTCAAGTAGAATAGAAGTGGCTATTTGTCCTTGCTTGTCAGAGGAGGACTGTACTAACTCGGATCCTTTTTGAAGGGATAGTCTTTTGACACCCTTCAGCTGCCTTTTGTCAAAGGCTCAGTAGAATATTGCTGTATGCTTCCTCAGTTCTTGTATTTTCCTTTTGCCATTAGAGACAGGATTCTAGGAAAGATGGACATCTCATCTGACCTGATACGACTTTCTTATGCAATTTGTGCTTATGTAAGTAATCTGTCTTCTGTGTAATATGAAATGAAGCCTTCTCATATGCTGCTTCTCCTGGAATACAGCTTTATTAATTTATATGTACTATATGCACTAGTTCAGCATTGCAACATCATAAAACTTGACCACTGAACACAGAACTGGAGTGTTATTACTTTGTGATTAAAGATTTACCAAATCAAATATGTATTATACAAGGTTGTTGCAATATCAGAATTGCTATTCTGAACAAATAAAACCTAATATAAAATACTTTTGACATATTAGTCAACGTCACAAGACCCATTTCCAATTTGAAAAATATTTTTTAAAGTGTTTCTCAAATTCAGGAATACACTCCTTTCTCCCTCCTGTCATCAGTGCTTAGATCTTATAGTGATCAGTCACGCTTATTTCTCTCACTTCACTGAGATGCAGATCAAAGAACACATTGAGGTGCATCAAACACTTTGATTGTTCCTTATTAGACATTAGAGAATAGATTTATATAATAATATATATGCTTATTAAAATGAAGAGTGTTAAGGAGTTGAGAGAGCTTTTGTATTTCACAAAGATAGTTATCTTTTTGGGGGGCAATGTTGACCATTGATACCTTTTATTCTTTCCAACTATCTGTAACTGTGGTGATATGATGTCATTGTCAAAGGCCAGAATGTATGGAGTGGAACACTTTAACAAGTGATCACAGCTGCTTCGCTTTTAAAAGCATGAATTTTGAGCAGTTTCAGAAGTTTATATTTTTGTCTCAAAGATAAGATAGGATATTACATACAGCTTGATATAGTTGGTTAGAAACTGGTTAGAATTAATGTTCTGTAAAGTATGCAAATCAGCATAAGAACCATTGGTAACTGTTTACATGCTATTAATAATTAGCAACCTTCATACTAGTCTGTTAGGAACGAACCACACATTGGGTACAATAGAAACTCAGCTCTATACGGTTGCGTTCAAATTACATTTGACTTGGACAATGGAGCATGAATGGAACTCATTTGAGTTTTTGCCACTGTAAACAATGAGATCTTGGAATGTTTCATTTGTTTATTGATTTATTTATTTGGACAGGTGCAGGTTGAGCATATGAAATTATTTTTTATTCAAATACAGGCAGAAAATAGCTTAATTGACATTGTCCAGTCAGTGTATGATGATAACCAACATCTTGTTTGGATAAACTCAAATTAATTTAGTCTGTAGCTGGTTTTGAATTTGGCTTTTAAGCTAATCAAACATGTTCTAGAGAAAGCGCTTCATGTGTTGTCCAGCCTCGTAGAAAATACAGGGTGTTTTTTTTTTGATTATGTTCTTTTTAGATACTAAGTTCCTTCTTTCACTTTCTGTTAAAAGTTATGTGTAGGTCTGTGAAGTATATTCTGTTAATGCTAATGGAGCTCATCCTTGAGAAGAGGTCATTCAAATCTGATGGATCCCATCTGGATGAGGATGATTCTCTTGGGTGTAATTTTCCTCAGCTATTTGAAACCCTTTCATAAGTGCTCCAAAGCAATAAGGCTCTATAATTTGCCAAATGATAGCAGGAGGAAAGAGGCAGGAAGATTGTTGGTGGGATCATACGTTAGGAAGTAGTATCACAGGACTAATAGCATGAATTAATGCAAGGAGAGCCTTGATTCAGGCTGTTTTATGTTTTCCATCAGCTGGACAACTGCATTTCTCCCAAATGAACACTAAAGGGAGAATGGATGATGGTAGCACATCTTACCATTTGGGGTAGGGTGCAGTTGAAATTAGAGAAATAATACGAAGGTACACGCAGAAGACATTATCCTTGGTCCACATTTTCCTAGGCTCATGTCAAATGGAAAATTGCATAGCAATCTACAAACGAGAAAATCTCACAAATACATGTCTTGCAGAAATAAATACGTGTCTTTTAGAATACATATCTTTTAGAAATAAAGCTACAGAAGGACCTTACACATTTAATACCTTAAATTATCTTGCCATACAACATAGCCTATGCTATTAAGTTCAAGTGTTGCAACTATGTGTTGTATCATAGTCTTTTCAAAGTTGTTCCAATATGTCTCACCAGGTGGAACAGATTCATACACTCAGCTTGATAAACAGTCACATTAGTATTTTGGTTCATACTGAGAATTTGCTGTTGATATTTCTCTTTCTACATTATATTGCATTTAAACGGTAACAGGGCTTCTCTTGTAATGTGTACGTTTGATTCCTGTCAATGCTAACAGAAAGTATGCACAGACACCAGTGGAAGAGTAGACTAGAATTTCTCTTGAGGTGGACAACTGTTTATAATTAGAGTTGTGGGAATGAAGAGCAACGCAGCTAGCAAGCAGTCACTCTTCCAAAAAGCTTGGTAAACTCGTAAAGCTCAGGAGCTTAATCTCTGAACCAGAGTCCTTGTTATCTAATCCCCACCAGCTGTTGTGTACTTGGTAGCCATGACATCTGTAATAGAGCTGAAGGGCCTGTCTGTATTGCTTGGCACCTTCACCCACCAACTGAACTTAATTCTTCTTTCATTGCTCACATTTACCTGCTTTAAATCATTAACCAGTTGCTTAGGGTTTGATCATCTACTTAACTGTACTTCATAATAGAAAGCTTGTGCTGCTTTTCACATTAAATGTGGTTCAGGTATGTAACTTTTCAGCCGGTTAGTTTTTGCCATGCGAATAAGAGAAAGGTATCAACCAAAAGAATTTCCTCTGGTTACATACTGATCCTTATATTGACATACAACTGACCTAGGAGTGAAATCTTAGTTGTATTTCATGTGAAAAATACTGCCACACTTCTGATAAGCATGGCAAAGAATTATATATGTATCTCTTCACTGGTCTGTATGAATGAGTATAGATGATCATAGAAGATAGAATATAAATGTAAGCAATGTACATGTTCATAACTGTGGAAGAATGCTTGTTTGTAGGGATCAGTTTAATCTGTGCTATGGTGGATGTCATTCTTTTTAGGATAGCAGAGGGCAGAAATTGGCCCAACTTGAGAAAATAATTCATTTTATGCCTCCCAGTTCTTGGGTGAACGCTGTGGCTTCAAGCCTACTGTTATACAGAATCCTCACCACCACAAGCAGTGCCGAGTAACAGCTGTTGTACAGAAGAAGGAGCGTGATCTCCTCATGTTAGGCATATCATGGACAAAACCACTATTTTAGGGCCTTGTAAGGGGTTAGAGGGAAGGATGTCTTGTTCCTGGATCCCAGATTAGTTTAGTTAGGAGGTAAGTGCTGAGCTGACCTCCTAAGACCATTTCTGGACATGGAAGAATATAGACATATGGGTTATTTTACTGGTTAAAACTTAGCTGCTTAGAGCTTCCTAGTACCTGAGTGATTGAATTTGTAATCTGAAGTTGACACTGTAGGCAAAATTGGGCCCAAAGACTGCCCTGGTCTTAAGTTAGCTATCAGCATTATACTGTGGATATAAAATTTTGAACTGGCCTAAGGCAGTTCTCACCATCTATACTACTTCCTGTCGAAATCCAGAATAATGGTCTCATAAAATAAAAACAGCTATACCAAGTTTTCAAAGAAATGCCTGTTAAATTTTGTTTTTGTTACAGTAATTTTTTCACTTGGTATTTATTTTCCTGATTTTTTTTTTTTTTTTAATTCCCCAGAATGGCACTAAGAAGGTCTGGGATTTTATGAAGATACATGACAGGTAACAGATGGAACCACATTATTTCTTTCTGTCTTTCTGTTATATTTCATAACTGTATTGTCTTCCAGTGGTCAAATCTTGTCGATGTGGAGTCTTTTTCCCCCCAGTTTCCTCTTCAATTCGCAGTTATTGCATAATACTTGAGATAGTTCTTTATTTCAGTAGACGTAATTAGCAGACATTTTAAAATCACCTCATGGTTTACTGTGTTTTCAGTCAGTTGTGACTGTGCTTGACTTCAAATATTAGAGTTTTAATACATGAGGTAGTGTACCTTTTAATTATTACATAGAAGGTGGAACTGAAAGTTTGGATTGTATGACGTTTTTTGTTTTGAGTGTGAAAGACTATGCCCCTCACATACATAACCGTGTTGTTACTGGTGCCATTAAGTGGACTAGTCCCAATATGTGACCAGACTCTCTCACCTGTGAATATACAATCCCGGGTATTGCCCTAATAGAAAGACTATTAAAAAGCAATCTAAAGTTATGGTCATACTGTTTGATTTTATTTTTATTTTTTTCCCTCCCCTGGCAATTACTTGGAATAAGGTAGAGATTCTGTTTTGAGTAAATCCTAGCGTTATGCTTTTATTTTAATCTGCTCTATCACTGCTATATAAGGATTTTCTTAGTCAAAGCCTAATTAAAAAAAACTTCCCAAATGCCTGAAACCTTTCAGGCTCTCCATTCTCTGCACCAAACATGCCTTCTGAGCACATGGGAAGAAATGGATGAGCTGTCTTTCCAATTGTATTTCTCCTATCAGGGAAGAAAAGCAGTTAACTCCTGTCTCAGAAATCAATTAATGCAAAATTATAACAACTAGGGCATATATGAAACAGACTCAGAGTTATTGAATATTAAACTATTATGAATATTAAACTCATATGTCTTTTTAAAAACTATAAATATTTAGTCACTGAAAATTCAGGTACCAGAAGATAAAAATATAAAACAAAGTTAACAACTTTTCCATAGAAAAAGCTTTTCTAAATCTATTAATTGTAAAAAACGTAGGAAAACACTAATGGCAAAAGAAACTGTGATAACCAAAACATGTTTAGAGGTGTATTCTTCTTGAATGTGAAGTAAGTAGGTAAAATCAGTTACATATTTGGAAATCCTTCTTCGTTGGAACCCTGAAAATCCTTACAGTGAACCTTTTTGTGTGTTAAGTATCTAGGATGGACATAAATTGATAGCAATACTTTTATCAGTAAAAAAATTATGAAGGTAAAAGTTCCAGGAAGACTGGGAAAATATTAGATAGATTAAAAATGCTTTTACTGCTTGTGAATAAGGACAGAAAAGGGAGTGATATTTCAATACTGAACTTCACACTTGCTTTTGGAATTTGCCTGGAAGACAGTTCTGTCTTTGCACTTTGTCTGTCCATATGGGCATGTGCCTGAATTTATGTTCGCAGATACAAAGGCTGAAATGATAATTGATTTATGGAAATTGAATATATGCCCATTCAAGCAAGTGAATCCAGCTTTAAATCACAGTGCTAAGAACGTGACTTCCAGATGAAAAATTTGGATTAACTATTTTTGTTTAAAATTTAGTTTAAACAGTTTAGCTCTGTGATAATGTGTGAATATATGCAACTAACTGAGTGGGGTAAATATTAAAGGATCAGTTTTCCCACTTCTTGGGAACAGTATTTCTGAAGGACTTTTGTGGACATTTTTAAAATAGTTGAGAACATAACTGTATAAAAAGGCTATGGCCACATGTCATGCCAGTCATCTCTGGTCACATAACATTTGTTAGCTTCAGATGTACAACAGCTGTCATCCTAACTTATTAGTGACTACCGTTGAACTGTAGAACATCTAACACTCTTTTGCAAGTAAATTCAGTGCAACTTCTGACACCAGAGGTAATAATGTGAACTTTGGGTTTACATAATTTTTATTAGTGAATATGAAGCCAATTGTTACCAGATAAATTAGGTTCAAAATCTCTTGTAATGCATTAAAGCCTATGTTTTACTGTATTTCAATAGGACAGCTGTGATGCTAGTTATATGGAAAAGTCATGTTGTCTATTTGCTGAAAATTATAGAGGACTTCATACTTGGAGGGCTTTTAGAGGTTCATTACTCTTAATGAAGGATAAAATTTTGAAGAAGAGGAGGGGTTTCCAGGGTATATATCCTTTTGTCAGGATTTCCTAGTGCATATGTCTTCTACAGGAAGATGTAGGAGTTTTCCATAATTAAGATTCTTTTTCCATAATACTTTTCAAAAGTTTCCAAAACTTCTACTTCCAAAAATGCTGTAACACTGTTAAATGCTCACAAGTTTTTTTACTAAAGCTGTTTTCCCAAATTGAGCATACGCATCGGAATGCCAGATCCGTAAAGTGCACATATGCATATATTATATATTTATATGTAATTGATATGTATAATTAATTTAATGATGCTGAATTAAAAACAAACAAACAACAAACTAAGTGTGCTAATCATACAGACACTGAGCCTAACTCGTGTCTTTATCTCATACTCTTTCAGCAGCACAAGTAAATGAGTGCTTAAGACTTGATTTCCTTGCTGCGTGACGGGGAGAGACTGTGTGCTGGGTTCCTTTGGGACCTCAGAGTTTTCATTTCAAATTAGGTCAACACAAGCCAATATTCAATAGATTTGTACCAGAATATAGGAAAAAAAAAAAAAATCAGCAAGACAGATGAAGTTATCTTTGTATAGATTTGTCCTTTCCAGCTGTTCAGATGAACAGCTGGTTAAATTATACAATGACAAAAACATAAGGACTGCAGTAGTCATGTCATTTGCCTTAAGTGTGAGTCACCTTTTAAAATCTTACTATACATTGCAGTAGGACAAGTTCATTTAACCATATGCAAGTTGGCATTGCACTAACATGGTGAAATAGCAAAATCTTTATTAGATACTACTGTTTGGTTTTGTTGGTTTGTTGGTTTTTTTTCTTAGTTATTGCAGATCTGGACTTCAGTGTGTGGCTCCTGAGCTTTCTTAAGATCAAGACCATTCAGAATTAGAGTATCAACCCTGGAGTCACCTCTGCTTTACATATCTTGTAATAATGCTGAACAAATAATTACATTCTCTCAATCCCTCCATGCCACTTAAGACAAAACCAAAGTTTTTTGCAAAATTATTCCTGATCACACAATAAACTATTACCAAAGCAAACCTTCAAAACCTGTGCTGTGAAAAGTCACAAGAAGCAGTTATTTGTTACCATATTTACGTTTAAATTGTAACAGAAGCACAAAGGACACAAAGACATACCCAAGTTGAGTAGTTAAGCCCTGGAACACTTTGCCCAGAGAGGCTGAGGAACCTCCATCCTTGAAGAAATTCAAACCTTGAGAAGGCTCTGAAAAATCAGACCTAATGTAGAAGTTAGCCTGATTTTGAGTAGGAGGTTTGATCCAATGATCTCCAAAAGTCTTTTACAACCTAAAGGTTTCTGTGTTTTTAAGCAGATTAAATACTTACTGAATGTTGCAGTTCCCATCTGACAACTGTCTAAAATTTGTAAACTAAAATCTGTCAACTTACAAGCCATTTTTCTACTGGAAAATAATGCATTTACTATAATTCTTGTCCTGTGGAGTTACATTTAAGCTAATCTTTCTTTTAACATGCACATGAACGTTACCAGAGCTCATTGCAAGGTTTTATTGTATCATTAGAAACAACGGTGGAAATTACTAAAAGTTAATGAATTAAAATAGAAATCGTTGATTCCTGCTTTTCAATTGAAATTATTGAACAAGTTTATTGTAGTGGTGCTCGTAAGTATTACATATTTCTGGGCTGTTGTGTTAGGTAGTGACATGCAGCAAAAGATGCTTTCTGCAATTATTTTACCCACTGCTTGCTTTCCTAATTAAGTTTACATTCCCTCTGAATGCTCAGCTGATGTGTTTGCTTGATATTAAAAATATCCTGATGAAAATCAAGCAGAGTGCAAGCAATGAAATTTTAAATGCAAAGGGTATTTCAAGATTCTTCTTAGATTTGGATCTATCGGAATTAGTTAGCAATTTGTCATGATTTGTGTGGCAAAGAGTTGTTAATTTTTTAAGATCACTGCTTTTAAAAATCTTGGTCAGAAAGACATTTTCTTTCTAGTGATTGTGGTGATTTTCTGTCAGAAATAGAAACATATCAAATGATACAAAGTAATCATCAATGCCTGTAACAAAAAATTATTCTCTAAAACCAGACACACTTCCCAGCTGTATTCTCCCTCATTCTAATTTTGCTATTTAGTACAGGAAGAGCCTGAAATGTAATACTTAAATTTTACATTTATCTACTTTATAAAGCAATAGACCAAGTTTGTTTCGGGTTTCAGCAACTCTCCTTAAACAGATTCAAGGCTTTTGAAACACATAATTTAGGAACAGGTGAAGGTCAGTGTACAGTCATGTGCTTGCTTTTGTGCTTTCAGTAATAATGAAGAACAGGAACATAACCATAACTTTTGCTAGTTGACAAGTAAAGGACAGCTTTCCAATTGCACTGTAAATTAATATTAAGCAAAATTAAAGCTATTTCTCTATTTAAAAATATGAAAAATTCACTGTAAAGTACATTACATTTAAGAAAGAACAAATTTGAGAAGACTGAATTGCATCCAAGATTATTGCATGAGTTTCACCTCTGAAAATATCATGTGACAAGGAAAAGGCATTTAGACTAAAAAAACTTAGTGCTCTGGATGTGCACTTTACCCTCTTATGTTCTGTTTTTACCTACAAAAACATGTCACAGTGGCTCAGTAATAGCTCCTAACTTGGATAAGTCTTTTCTTAAGGAGAAAATAATATTCTTACCTTAAAAGATTCACTTCCTTTAAGTAAAAAGATTAATTAATTTCACATTTGAAACAAATGAATTCCTAATTTAATTGTTTTCTCAGTAAAAAGAGGTTTTATACTTTATCTTTTACAAAGAAAGTATAGTTTTCTGTCAGGAAGGAGTTTGCACGG